CCTTACAGGCACACACACACACTTCACACACACACCCTTACAGGCACACACACACACCTCTCACACACACCCTCACAGGCACACACACACACACACTTCACACACACCTCACAGGCACACACACACACACTTCACACACACATCCTCACAGGCACACACACACTCTTCACACACACACCCTCACAGGCACACACACACTCTTCACACACACACCCTCACAGGCACACACACACACACTTCACACACACACCCTCACAGGCGCACACACACACACACACTTCACACACACATCCTCACAGGCACACACACACTCTTCACACACACACCCTCACAGGCACACACACACTCTTCACACACACACCCTCACAGGCACACACACACACACTTCACACACACACCCTTACAGGCACACACACACACCTCTCACACACACCCTCACAGGCACACACACACACACTTCACACACACACCCTCACAGGCACACACACACACACTTCACACACACCTCACAGGCACACACACTCTTCACACACACACCCTCACAGGCACACACACACACACCTCACACACACACCCTCACAGGCGCACACACACACTTTACACACACACCCTCACAGGCACACACACACATTTCACACACCCTCACAGGCACACACACATACTTCACACACACACCCTCACAGGTACACACACACACCTCACACACACACCCTCACAGGCGCGCACACACACCTCACACACACACCCTCACAGGTGCACACTCTCACATATACACACTCTCACATATACACACTCTCACGTGCCCATTCACGTGTGCAGGCCTTCACATTTGCTCACATGTGCACACACATCCTCAGATGCACACACTGTCAGATGCAAACACACTCTCCCATGTACTTACATGTGCCCACACACCTCAAAGGCACATACCTGTGCACACCCTTCCTTGCACACACACTCACTTGGGCACACTCATGTCCTCACACATGTTCTCTGGTGGACACACCCTCACACCCACACACACCCTCACACAGATGTAGAGAAGCCCACCTGGCGAGATCGAGGCCTCTGCCCCGTGTCCCATCCCATGCCCCTGAGCCCCCCTCCAGCCTCAGCGGTCCCAGCACAGTGTGCTGTCCCCTGCTGGGCAGACCCTAGACCTGACAGGAGGTTCAGATCAAGATCATGCACAAACATCCCTCGTGTGCGACCCCCTGCAACGTGCACACACCTCTGGAATGTGACTGTGCCTGTGGGCTCCATGACCTGGAGTGTGACCGTGGCCCCATGGCAGCTGCCTGCTGAGGGCATCCCCTGCCCTCCCCAGGACAGAAACAGGCAGCACTGTGGGTGGGACCCAGGAGCGACATGGCCCCCTGTGCTGCCCCCTGAAAGCCGAGGTCCCTCCCGCCCACCCAGCTGCCCACACCAGACACTCAAGGAGGACCTGGACTGGGCCCAGCAGTACCTCTCCCATCCATTGGCTGCTCTGCCTCCTGCCTGCCCCTGCCCAGTACCGGCCATTCGCTCACACCTGTTCCAGGAGCAGTCCCTTGTCCAGCTCACCCCTACTGCCCGCCCCCCCGCACTCTGGCCAGGGGTGTTTCTAAAGCAACCACTTGCTAACCTCCTCCCACGCTCCCACTGCCTTCAGGCACATGGTCCATCCCCAGGCCCTGTCCTCTCCAGCCTCATGCCCTACCCCTTTGTCCACCCAGCCCGCAACCCGCAGCTCCTGCAGCTCCCTCCCCAAGCCCTTTGCACTCCCTGACCTCCCCCCAACTGCCACCCAGCCCTCCCCCTCCACCCACTCAATCCCCATCCTCCCCTGGGTCTCAGCTCAAACGTCCCCTTCTCCCGGAGGCGTCCCAACGCCCAGCCCCATTCTCCCTGCCTCCTCATGCCTGGCACAGGAGCATGTACAGCTCTGTGGTCCTGGCACAGCACACAGCTCAGTACACCTGCTGACTGTGTCCATTTCACACGTCTCTTTGGAGCGCCTTCTGTTTGCCAGGCAGAGTTCTGGGTGCTGAGTGCACGGAGGCCACCTTTTGGCTCATTTCCCAGTAAAGGCAGGCGGGGCACGTGGGAGAAAATCACACACTGTTGGGGAAGGTGTGCTGGTTTGGTTTGGTCCTTCCTGAACTGCTGTTTGGTCACACTGAATAGCTGTGTGACCCTGGACTGGCCACGACCCTCTCTGGGCCTCAGTTTCCTCATTTGTTAAATGTGGGAAAGATGGTTTTGAACTCGGTGATCTTCAAGAAGCCCTCTGGGATTGGAGGAGACGAGAAAGACAGAGAGAAGCTGGCCCTAAAATGGCCTCTCTGCATGTCACCTCCCCGCCCCCAAGGGGGTCTCCCCAGGGCAGTGGGAAGGGGCCGGACTGGTAGAGCTGAACTGCCCCTCCCACTACCGCACAGCTTTGGTTCCCACTACTCACTTGCCCTACCTCGCCTCCCAGCCCTTCCCAAGGACCCTCACAGTAGCACTCAGGACCCCGAGAGTTTCCTATCATATTGTGACCTTGAGACCCCAGCCCCCAGGGCCCCCTCTGTGCCCTACCCAATCCAAGCCAGTCCCTCTCAGAACAAAGCAGGATTGGGCCACCCTCCAGGCTCAGACAGCTCTGCCACTCTCCTGGTCACCTTGCTCCACAGATATCCTGAAGCATGTGGCCTCTCCTGCCCCGCCAGGCATGCCCAGACTGACCGATGCATTCTGCAAGCCCGGGGTCAGGCCAGCCCCACAGGGCGCTCAGGATGGATGGACCACAGAGGTTGGCTGGGTGGGGTGGATGACAGAGCCCCAAGGCCCCAGGGCTAGGAATTAGAGGAATGGGGATAGCACTGTCTGTGGACGAGGAGCAGGTGCCAGGAGACCTGTACTGTTTGGCCGATGGGGAAACAGAAGCTCAGGCAGGGAAGAGAAGCAAGGGGTCAGACAGAGCCAGGAAATAAGCTGGGCTGAGGACAGACAGAACTCTGTTCAGATTCCAGCCCTGCCGCTGAATTGCTGTTTGACTTTATGTGAGCCACTTTTTACTTCTCTGAGCCTCCCACAGGTTGTTGAGCCATCAGATGTCAAGTTCCTGGACCACAGGAAGTGGGTAGATGCCTATAAAAGCCCCATGCAGCCAGGCGCAGTGGCTCACACCTGTAATCCCAGCACTTTGGGAAGCCGATGTGGGTGGATCACCTGAGGTTAGGAGTTCGAGACCAGCCTGACCAATATGGTGAAACCCCGTTTCTATTAAAAATACAAAAATTAGCTAGGCTTGGTGGCATGTGCCTGTAGTCCCAACTACTCGGGAGGGTGAGACAGGAGGAGAATTGCTTGAACCCGGGAGGCAGAGGTTGCAGTGAGCCGAGATCATGCCACTGCACTCCAGCCTGGGCGACAGAGCTAGACTCCGTCTCAAAAAAAAAAAAAAAAAAAAAAAAAATCCAAACCTGGGAAGGCAGGTAGGGCCCTCATCCTCTCCTTCCCCAATCTTCACCCCATCCCTAAAAGAGAGCAGTAAGGAGTCAGAAGACCTAACTGGCTCCAGCCTTTGCTACTCACTGGCAGTACATCCCTGGGCAGGTAACCTCTTGTCTCCAAGTCTTAGTTTTTTCATCTGTAAGATGGGAATAGCTCACCTCCCTCAGGGTGCCTATAAGGCTCAAAACAGGTCATGGACATGAAAACTCTGTAAGGCTGGGCAGATGTCAGGGCTTATGGTTGCAAGATAACCTCTCTTAATACTAGGTGGGTGGGTAAATGGATGGATGGACAGGTGGATGGGTGGACGAATGGATGGACAGGTGGATGTCTAGCTGACGGTACAGATGGATGAATGGACAGATGGAAAGATGGCTAGAAGGATGAACAGATGGATGGATGGATGGATGGACAGGTGGATGGGGGGACAGGTAGATGGATGGACAGGTGGGTGAATGGATGGATGAGTTGATGGATGGATGAGTGGGTGGATGGGTGGGTGGGTGGATGGATGGTTGGGTAGATGGATGGATGGGTGGATGGATGGACGGGTGGATGGGTGGACAGGTAGATGGATGGACAGGTGGGTGGGTGGACAGGTAGATGGATGGACAGGTGGATGGGTGGACAGGTAGATGGATGGACAGGTGGATGGGTGGACAGGTAGATGGATGGACAGGTGGGTGAATGGACGGATGAGTTGATGGATGGATGAGTGGGTGGATGGGTGGAAGGGTGGGTGGGTGGATGGATGGATGGGTAGATGGGTGGATGGATGGACGGGTGGATGGATGGACAGGTGGATGGGTGAACAGGTGGGTGGGTGGGTGGATGAGTAGATGGATGGGTGGGTGGGTGGGTGGGTGGGTGGATGGATGGATGGATGGATGGATGGATGGATGGATGGATGGATATGTGGATGGGTGGACAGACAGATGGATGGACAGATGGGTGGGTAGACGGATGAGTGGGTGGGTGGATGGATGGATGGATGGATGGACAGGTGGATAGGTGGACGGGTGGATGGATGAACAAGTGACCAGGCATATGGGTGAGTAGGTACATGGATCTGTGGTGGGTGACAGAGCTCAAGTTCTAAGTCAGTCAGCACAAGTGAGGGAGTCAGGTTTCATTGCCCCAGTGAAATGTTCTATGATGTCCTCCTTCAAACTAAGCAGCTTCTTTTCCTATGGGTGCTCGCCTTGACATCCTGTGAAGACCACTGCCCCATAAACCCTTTGTTCCTGAAAAGCCAGACTCCCCAGCATGCTCTCCAGGCTCTCCTGGGACTCAGAGGCATCGGGGCCACCTGCCAGTATCTTCAGGCCCATGAGCTCCACGGGAGCAGGGCACATCTGTCCAGACACCGCAGGATCCCTGCGCCCACCCAGGCCCTGGTCAGTCTTCTCCTAGTGAATGAAGCAGGGTGGGGGATGGGCACTGGCTAGGCAGGCCAGGGATGGGTTGGCCAGGGATGGATCAGCCAGGAAGGTGTGGACAGGGTGGGGCTGACTCACTGGGCACGCGGTTGATGGCTTTGAGGGGCCTCAGGACGCGTACAGTGCGGATGGCCGACAGGTTGATGTTCTGAAGGTCCAGGGAGTACTCAACCATCCTGCAGAGAAAGGGGAAAGAGTGAGGGATGGTGCTGGAGGCCAGCTGGGGTCAGGGCCTGGGCCACAGCATTCTCCAGCCACCTGCACACAGCTGCCTGGACAGGGCAAGTAAAGACAGCGGTCGGATCTCCAGCTACATCCGGCCAACGTGTGGCCTGGGGTTGCTTCTGTGGCCCTTGTCTCCTCCTCTGTAAATGGCGCTGGTGACAGATGTGGGCAGGGGCTCAGGGTGTGAAGGGAGCACAGACGTTGGGCCCCAGCTGTGTGCCCAGCACTGTGCCAGGTGGCTCCTGCCCTTCAGGCCCATCCTCCTGGCCTGTGGCCCGTGTCAGCCCCTGTTTCCAGAGCAGCCTCTGAAAGCGGGAGGAGCATCTCCTGCACCATACAGCTCCACGCCCCACAGTCCATGCTCAACCAGCCCTGCAGCTCTTTGGAGGCAGTTTGCCTCCTCCAGGAAGTCTTCCCAGATCTCCCACAAGAGGCAGATCTCTGAGGTCCCTTCATGGTGGAAGCACAGCAAACCTCAGTTGCGGGGCACTGGGAGATGGGTCCGGCCTGCATTCCCAGGATCACCCCCCTGCCCCCATCACCAGATCCTTCCCCCAGCACCTCCCACCCCAGGACTTCAGCGCTGCTGCCAGCTCCACCTGTCACCACCCATGTCACCACTGTCAGTAGGAAATGAAGGCTTTTCCTACACGCTGCACAAACCTGTCCGACTGTTGTGAAGCCGCCACCCCCTCCCGCTGCTTGAAGAGTCATTGAGTGAAAGCTCCGTTCCCTGAAATGCCACCATCATCCATCCCCCACCCGCTGGAGCGCAGGCTCAGGCTCCTGCATGCGCGCACACACACACACCTCCACACCTGTGTGCACACACGCACGGTCACACACCTGCATACGGAGTCACATACACGCACACAACCACACACCCAGTCACACACATACACACAGTCACACACACAACCACACACCCCCACACACAGTCACACACCTGCACACACGCACACACACGGTCACACACTTGCACACAGTTACACACACGCAGCCACACACCTGCACGGTCACACGCCTGCACACAGTCACACACATGCAACCACACACCCGCACAGTCACACACCTGCACAGAGTCATACATATGCACACAACCACACACCCAAACACACATGCACACAATCACACACCCGCACACACACACGCACACAACCACACACCCACCCACACACACCTCCAGTCACACACGCATACAACCACACACCCACCTACACAGTCACACACGCACACAACCACACACCCACACACAGTTATACACCTCCACACACAGTCACACACATGCACACAACCACATACCCACACACACAGTCACGTACACAGCCACACACCCGCACACAGTCACGCACCTCCACAGTCACACACATGCACACAACCACACACTTGCACACATATACACACACTTGCACACAGACCCAGAGTCACACACTTGCACACAACCACACACCCACACAAACAAAACATACGCACACAACTGCACACCTGCAGACACACACACACTCCCTTCTTGGACATCCTCATATATGCACCCTCCTACTCAAACCCAAACGCAGATGAGGGGGAGTGACCCAAAAAAGTGACAGAGACCTAGAGCTGGAGACAGAGACCTTGGGGACCTGAGGGGGAGGGAGGAAGGGGAGAGGGGGAGCTGGCAGAGAGCAGGGAGAGAGGAGGGGGGCAGGGGAAGGAGCAGGAGGAGGGAACAGAGGGTTGGGGGAGGGGCGGGGAGAGGAGGGAGTGCGGGGGGAGGGGGCAGCAGCCAGGCAGAGAGGGTGAGGGCCAACGGTGACCTGGAAGGGGCAGCGAGGGAGCGGGACTGCATGAGGATTCTGCGCGTGGGTGAGCCCAACTGTCATTTTCACATTTTGTAGAAAGAGCTCTCCAGGCAGCCGGGAGACACGTGTGACAGAGGGGCTGCGGGGGTGGCACACACAGGCACATAAACAGGCGCTGGCACCCGCGGGGCCCAGGACTGCCGAGTCCCATCGCAGGCAGCCAGGACCAGCTCCAGCCAGCCCTCCCCACCATGCCCCACCCCCACACAGACGTGGCCCCTCTTCCTCCTGCCTTGGTTTTCCAGATCCTGTGGGGGGCGGGGTGGGGGGAAGTCAGTCCCTAGGGAGAACTGGGAACGCCCTCAGGCTCAGTTCATGCTTTGCTGGATGAGCTGCAGGTGGGGGCTCCCAGCCCACACCAGACTGAACCCACCCATGTGCTGCCTTCCCAGGGCCCAGAGGGCACACCTGCCCAGCTCTGGCAGGCACTCTTCGAGGACTTGTTCCCATCCCCATGAAGCCTCGCCATGAAAATAAACAGATGCCTGCAAGATGGATGGGTAGACAGAAAAGCAAGGCTGTTTGAGGCCCTACTGGGTGCCAGGCACTGTTCTCTTTACCTGTGGGAACCCATTTCAATCTCCACTCATTTGAGCGCGGGCCCATTACTCTCTCCTGCCACAGCCTCTCTCCATTCCACCGCCGACCAGGGCAAGCCACATCCATGACTGGCTCATTGAGAGAGCCCTTGGAACGACCCCCTGCTGGTCCCTAACTCCCCTCCCCCACACGGCCACCTGGCTCCACCTTCCCCGCCCAGTCTAGGACTGTTGGCTCTCAGTTAAGTGAGGGCACCAACCATGGCCCCTGCCCCACGATAGGCTGGGGGGCAAGAATGCCCCCGTGCACAATTCAGCCCCTTGATGACAAAGAGTGGTTTTTTTCTTCTTTTTTTTTGAGACGGAGTTTCACTCTTGTTGCCCAGGCTGGAGTGCAGTGGCACTATCTCGGCTCACCGCAACCTCCGCCTCCCAGGTTCAAGCGATTCTCCTGCTTCAGCCTCCTGAGTAGCTGGGATTACAGGCACGCACCACCATGCCCAGCTAATTATGTATTTTTAGTAGAGATGGAGTTTCTCCATGTTGGTCAGGCTGGTCTCGAACTCCCAATCTCAGGTGATCCACCCGCTTTGGCCTCCCAAAGTGCTGGGATTACAGGCGTGAGCCACCGTGCCCAGCCGACAAAGAGTGTTTTCTTGCATTTTGTGTTTCTCTACAACAAGGGGTGGCAGGAAGAGACTGACCCCGGGGTCTTCAATGAGATATGAGTTGTGACTGGATGTTACAGGGGGGCCCACGATGACCCAGTTAGTAACTTTAGGGTCTGAACACCTCCCAGACCCCAGCTTTGCCACAGGAGGCTGATCAGACACATGTGCTCTTGGCTACAGACTTGGGCAACCTCCCCGCCATCCGCCCCAATCTTGGAGGGGAACGGAAGCAGCCACTGCCTGGCAGTGCATCTGAAGCTCCCAGACACTCTGAGCTGGTCCAAATAGGACAGACCCGGAGCAACGCACTGGCCCAGCCCCTTTCCCTCACCCTGTACCTGACGCTGTGGGTCTTCAGCACAGGAACACACCTTCAGTCTACGTCTGTGGCAAACATTCCCCAAATTCCCCCTGAGAACCCACTAGGTACAGCCCTCACACCCCAGTGAAAAGTTCCCCCAAGAAAACGTTCCTGTAGAATCTGGTGTCAAGATCTTAGCTCTGAGCTTCCTGGTAACCAAGTCAAAAAAGGAAATATGATGTTACTGAGTTCTTAGCAGCATGAAAGATCTTGACACTGTAGATCCTTCCAGGGAATCCATTTCCTTAAATATTTCTACTGGGTCCTAACTCTTACTTCTCCACTTCATGAACCATTTGCGGGTATTCTGCAGTGGTTGCATCTCCTGTCTGGGGGAATAAGATAGCGTATAAATGCGTTCAGTGAAGAAGAAACATAGGCACACAGTGAAGAATTGAGTAGTTCTCATTCTTCTCTGAGGAGAAGCGGTTAGAAAGGAGGACACCAGACAAGGATGGGGAGAGAGGAGGGAAGAGGGAAGAGCACTTATTTGGGAGGGAGGAACTGTGGGTTTAAGTCTCTGTCCTGGGAACCTCGCTGTCTTGACAATGACTCCATGCACCAATCGGCCCAACCTGGGACAGCTTGCTGACAGTTCCACCCTCCCTGTCTTAGCCCGGATCACCGGCCCTCTGTCCCGACAGTGGCAGAAGCCTCCCAATTGCCCTCCTGCCCCCTGCTTCCTCCCCTACGTCCCTTCCTCAGTCAGCAGAAATCTCCTAAACTCAGATCTAGCTGTGTCAGTCCCACTTAAAACCCTCAGTGACTCCCCATTGCCTTCAGAACAAAGAGACCTTCAAGGCCCTCCGTAATCTGGCCTCAGTCCATCTCCCCCGAGTCTCTGCTCACCCTAGGTGCCGAGTCAGGCATGAGCACCGTGTCTCAATTTTTGCTGAGGCCACCTGGGATGGTAGAAGCTATCTCCCTCCCCTTCTCCTCTTTCCACCCCAGTGACAGCCAAGACAGCTGGGACTTCCTGCCCACATTCCAAAAAGAGAAGGTAAGGAAGGGCCGCCCTGTGGGCTGACTCCCCTCAGGCCCCAAATAAGACATCGCTTACGGGGGTGAGAAATTAATTCCTAATTACACAGTTACTTTATCACGCAACTTCAGTGCTAAGTCTAAAAAAGAAATCAACAAAACCTCCCCACTACCTCCTGCCAGCTCCTAAGCGCTTAATTAGGTAAGTAATGTTGCTTTAAAGAGATCACTTCCATCCTGAAGTCTCCCCAGGAGGAGGTGGCTGTCTTCTGGGGAGAGGGGCTCTGGTGTGGCCAGGCTGGTGGAGGGACCGTGCCAAGGAGGGTAGGGAGGGCGGACATCATTTCTTCCCAGCACCTTCTACTCCGACTTTATTCCTTGAAGAGCCTCCCTCCCCAGCTCCTGGCTCCTAGCAGAGGTCCAGACACCCAGGCCTGGTCCACCAGAGGATCCCATGCCCCCGGCCGGGCCACCATGGATTGGTTCAGGATAGGCATGTGATCCCTGGTGGACCACGAAGGCAGCCCAGCCCATGAGCGGGAACTGCAGGGAAGAGGGAGGTCCTCTCCCTGGCTGAGCCACAGCCTGCAAACGCGGAGGCCACCGTGGTTCCATGGTGGCCTGAGAATTCTGCCAACATAAAGGAAGAGTGAAGCAAGAGCTGGAGAGAGGCAGGCTCCTGACTGCATGCTTGGAGGACCTCCCTTCAGCTAAGCCCAGATCCCTAACCTACCCTCTGCTCTCCCCGGTTACTTGAACCAGTGTCTTCCTTTTGGGTTCTAGGTCCTGCTTGTACTGTGTTTCTGTCAACTGGAACTCAGGGTGCTGGTTGGTTTAGAAAGGTTATCTGAGCACGCACTACCTACCACGAGCTTCATGCCACTTCCGTCAAGTACTCCTCTCTCAGTTGGATTACGGCACCCACTGCAGATGAGGAAACTGAGACAGAAGCGGCCCATGTCAGGCCAGGCATGGTGACTCATGCCTGTAATCCCAGTACTTTGCAAGGCCAAGGCAGGTGGATCGCCTGAAGTCAGGAGTTCAAGACCAGCCTGGCTAACACGGCAAAACCCCGTCTCTACTAAAAATATAAAAAAAAATTAGCCGGGCATGGTAGCGCATGCCTGTAATCCCAGCTACTCAAGAGGCTAAGGCAGGAGAATTGCTTGAACTCAGGAGGCAGAGATTGCAGTGAACTGAGATTGCGCCACTGCACTCCAGCCTGGGCTATAAGAACAAAACTCTGTCTCAAAAAAGAAGGGATCCATGTCCCACAGTCAGGTACCAAGGAACCCAGGAGCTCTGTGTGACCTGCCCCCTCTCCCACTGCATCAGTCACCAGCAAGGCCAGAGCAGGCCACCGTCTCTGGCTCAGGAGCATGACCCTCTCCTGACCAGATGGGTGGAAGGCCCAATGCCCACCACAGCACTAGGACCAGGGCCAGCATCCTCCAAGGCAGTGCCACCCGATGGTCAGAGTACAGAGCTGGGTTCCAATGCCAGCTTGCTGCTTGCGCACCATGTGACTTTGGGCAAGTCACTGACCTGAAACGTGTTCATATACAGATCTAGCACTCAAGGAACAGCCAAGAAATGTGAGCTATTATTGTATCGCAGCCTCAACTGTTACCTCAGTTCACACGCGCCCACGAATCACATGAGGCCCTCTCCAGACCCCACCCACAGGCAGAGATGAGCTCTTCTGCCTGGTGTCCCACTGATCCTCTATGAGGGCACCTCTGGGCACCTGTCCCTGTTCCTCAGAGCAGGGGCTGGCTCAGAGCCCCTGCTGGGTCCCCAGTGCCCAGCCCAGGTTCTGACTTAGAGGCGGATTCCCTGTGCGAGCTTGTCAAACAAATAATTTGAGGGACAAGATCAGAAAAAAAGAAAAAGAAAAAGAAAAAAGAAAAAAAAAAAAAAGCTTGGAGCTGACAAGAAGCCACAAGAAATGACTGAGGTTTAACATCTTTCCAGGAAATACCCCGCCCAGGGGATGATTTCTGTGTGCGGCTGATAAAAATAGGGTGTTTCCTCAATCTTCACAAGGGGCCCACGGGGGCTTTCTTAAAATGTGATTTAAGATGTAGCTAATGGAAGGGAAGCTGAGATGCTGGAAATCACAGATCATCTGTCAGGAGGCAGCTCTGTGATGACTAAGGCTTGTGTTGGTTGATAACTAGACCACCAGCCATTGCCAATATCCGGGGACCCAGCACACAGTAGGTGTTCTTTGGAGAGAGGGAAGGAAGCGGGGAGAGAAGGAGGAAGGAAATAATGGAGAGGATTTGGGGGTAATAACATTAACCCTTGACTGTGGCCAGCACCTCATGATTTATGGGCTCTTTCACCCATTGCTATGGACTGAATATTTATATCCACCTAAAATTGATATATTGAAATTCTGTTCCCCAAGGTGATAGTATTAGGGCCTTTGGGGAGGTGATTAGATCCTGAAGGCAAAGCCCTCAAGAATGAGATTAGCGGCCGGGCGCGGTGGCTCAAGCCTGTAATCCCAGCACTTTGGGAGGCCGAGACGGGCGGATCACGAGGTCAGGAGATCGAGACCATCCTGGTTAACACGGTGAAACCCCGTCTCTACTAAAAAATACAAAAAACTAGCTGGCCGAGGTGGCGGACGCCTGTAGTCCCAGCTACTCGGGAGGCGGAGGCAGGAGAATGGCGTGAACCCAGGAGGCGGAGCTTGCAGTGAGCTGAGATCCGGCCACTGCACTCCAGCCTGGGTGACAGCGCGAGACTCCATCTCAAAAAAAAAAAAAAAAAAAAAAAAAAGAATGAGATGAGCACCTTTTTATTTTATATACAATTTTTTTTTTTGAGATGGAGTCTCACTCTGTCGCCCAGGCTGGAGCACAGTGGCACAATCTTGGCTCGCTGCAACCTCTGCCGCCGGGTTCAAGCAATTCTCCTCCCTCAGCCTCCCGAGTAGCTGGGATTACAGGCATCTGCCACCACACCTGGCTAATTTTTTGTAGTTTTTAGTAGAGACAGGGTTTCACTATCTTGGCCAGGCTGGTCTTGAACTCCTGACCTTGTGATCCACCCACCTTCGCCTCCCAAAGTGCTAGGATTACAGGCGTGAGCTACTGCGCCCGGCAGCACCTTTTTAAAACAGGCAAAAGGAAACTCACCCGCCCCTTCATGTGAGGACTGAAGTGAGGACTCAGTGAAAAGACTCATCTATGAAGAAGCGGCCCCCACCAGACACTGAATCTGCCAACACCTTGATCTTGGACTTCCCAACCCCCAGAACTGTGAGAACTAGATTTCTGTTGTTTATGAGTCACCCGATTTATGGTATCTTGCCGGAGCACCCCAAACAGACTAAGACACCTGTCTTAGTCCGTTTTCTGCTGCTGTAACAGAAGTAGAAAGACTGGATTATATATTTTTTAAAAAGAAATTAATTCGGTTTCCGATTCTGGAGGTTGGGAAGTCCAACATCAAGGAGCCACATCTGGCGAGGGCTTTCTTGCTGTGTCATCGCATGGCAGAAGGGTAAGAAAGTGTGTGTGAGAGAGGGAAGGGGCCAAACTCATCCGTATCAGGAACCCACTCCCACAATAACCATCGCACTCCCACAATAATGGCATTAATGCATCCACAAGGGGTGAGTCCTCATGACCTGGCCACACTTCTTAAAGGTCCTACCTCTCAATTCTGTTGCACTTAGGATTAGGTTGCCAACACATGAACTATGGGAGACACATTCAGACCACAGCAACACCCATAGTTCCTCACACATACCTATGAGGCCAAAGAACAGAGGTGATTAAGCCCACTTGACTGATGCTCTGAAACCAACTCAGGCCAAGCTCAGAGTACAGGGGGGATTTGGGGGAAGAATGCTGGGTTGGCCACAAAGCTGAAGGATGGGCTGCAAAGACAGAACCCAGGCAGGTGGGAACCAGGGCAGCTCCGGGAACCTCAGTGGCAGAAGACCTGGACCTTCTCTCTCCAAGCCTCCATTCAGGTGACTTTACTCCAGTGGTTTATCTCTGGGTAGAGTTGCCAGATACATAGACGCTTCCCAGTTAAATCTGAGCTTCAGATAAACAATGAATAATTTTAGTATATGCCTCATGTCTGCCTCCCGTGAAACTTAGCTCCATTACTCCAGAGTAGTCTTGGCAGCATGCAGGTGGGAACGGCTGCTGGGAACCAGAGAGTGGGCTCTGTGTGGGGCAGAGAGGCTTTCGGCTCTACCAGAGCCTGGGGGAAATGTTCTTCTCAGGGGACTCACCTCACTGCTTTCTGAGGGCTAGTGAGGCTTCCAAGTCCTCAGAGGCAAATCAACTGCTTACATTTCAGCCTCTGGAAAGGTACAACTCCTTCATGTCATGGGTGAGCACAAGCCCTGGGGACATCCAGACCTGAGCAATCCCAGCTCTGATCCATAAAGGCTGAGTGTGTCCTCAGGCAGGCTACCAATCTCTCTGAGACGCCATTTTCTCATCTGCAAAGTGGGGTTAACAATAGTAATTTCTGGGGATTGTGAGGATATAACGCCATCACGGGTGTAAGTCCAGATCAGTCTGTTAATGATAGTTCATGGTAGGCCACCTAAACGGCGTGGTTGCCACCAGCCAGGGCGCCCTTGTGAACTCCGAGAGTAACAAGGCCTGGCCTGGGGTCCTCCCTGTCCAGCATCCCTTTCCAGCCTCCCCACCCTCAGGCACATGGTAGGGGCAGGGCTGACACATCCTGCCAGGGGTGGGCCTTCACCTCCATCTGGCCTATAGGAGCTCTGCCCACCTCTCCCTCAGTGATTGGCTTAGGGATGAGCACGTGCCCCACGCCAGCCAATCCAAGCCAAAGAGGCTCAGTTTCGGTACTGGTTGGAACTGCTGGGAAAGAAAAGGTGTCTCTGAACTGGAGGGAGTCTGCTCTGAGCCCCGAGCTGCCTGCCACCACCCTGCCACCGAAAGAGCTCCAGGGATGGAAGTCAGCACAGACTAGCAGAGCTGTGGGATGGGAGCACATACCATCTAGAGACATCTTTCAGGATTCTAGAGCAAGCGGGCCCTGAAGCTGGAGACCCCTTGGCTTTTCAGTAGAGGAGATGGTAGACTCCCTTAAACCAGGTTCTGAGTTTCCGTCCCATGTAACAGAGATAGTCCTTCCCGATTCATGATTGACACGTGTCAGGCACCTCAGCCCATGGCCAGAGAATCTCTGGTGACTTCCCCCAACATCACACATGGCAGCTACCATCCTGTTTCCATGGAAACGAGCCTCCACAGTGACCATCACCCTCTCTCCCACCCCATCCCATATGCAAATGAGAAAAACACACGAAGGTTCCCACTGGAACCTTCCCCAGTCCACGCCCACCCAACGGCAGCTCAGCTTAAAGAAAATGGCTCCAGATATCTTCTCCCCAGCTCTTTAGTGCCTGGGTGCAACAGACAGGAAACAAACATGTAATGATGCCTCCACAGCTCTGGGGACTTCAGGATGATGACTAGCCTTGGCCCTGCCCTCAGAGCACCCAGTGCATCTGAGCATCCACAGCCACAAGGCAGACAGACCTGTAAGTCCAGGATAGATCAGAGTGTACAGTCAATGACAATACCAGAAGGGTGCCCTGGGCTTCAAGACATTCGGAGGGCTTCCCGTACCCACCAATAGTGCACACAGAGCTGTGCAGGAAGGCCAGCTCCAAAGGCTTCTGGGCATCCCAGTGATCGCCTTCTGATCCCTATGACCACAGCCAGATCTGCTGGCAGGCGCTGGGCTCTGTGGAACTTGCATAGGTTGGTATTGACGTTAGAGATCTCAACATGGCCGGGCGCGGTGGCTCAAGCCTGTAATCCCAGCACTTTGGGAGGCCGAGACGGGCGGATCACAAGGTCAGGAGATCGAGACCATCCTGGCTAACATGGTGAAACCCCGTCTCTACTAAAAATACAAAAAACTAGCCGGGCGAGGTGGCGGACGCCTGTAGTCCCAGCTACTCGGGAGGCTGAGGCAGGAGAATGGTGTAAACCCAGGAGGCGGAGCTTGCAGTGAGCTGAGATCCGGCCACTGCACTCCAGCCTGGGCGACAGAGCGAGACTCCGTCTCAAAAAAAAAAAAAAAAAAAAAAAAAAGATCTCAACAGAGTCCTGCCCCCGCCCAGCCAGTGCAGGCAGAGCTCCAGAAGCTCTGACCAGGGCTTGGAGACATGGTCGAGCCACAGCTTTGGCAGAGGGTGAGTGAAGAAACTGAGGCTCAAGGAGAGGAATGTGGCTGACGTGGAGTGCCCCCATGATGTGCATTCTCTCTCTTTTGACCTTATCTGACCCCAGGGAACAACTCTTGTTTGATTTAGCCAAGTTTAATGCTTTGTGCTTTCCTAGCCTCGCTGCAGCTCAGGTGTCCATCAGACCCAGTTCCAACCAAATGCACTAGGGAAGGGAAGGATCCTGGAAAGAATATCTCATTTTCCTGACCCAAGTTGACATGTCCTGTCACTCTTCACCCTTCCTTCCTGTCTAATTCAGACATGACACCCACGGCTTCACCGGCTGCCTTGTGACCATGAAAGAAAGGCCTGGAAAATCACAAGGATGTCAGCCCCCACACTGCAGAACTATCTCCAGTAACCAGAACTTTGTGTTATGTCAGAAAAAAAAAACACTATTCAGGATTCAGGATTTGCTTGAGCCACTGTTGGTTGGGTTTTCTATTACTTGCAGCCAAATGCATCCCCGACAAATACACCCAGCAAGTCACACTGAACCAGGACCCAATCCTAGCCGGTGGAGCTAAGCTTCCTGGGTTCAACTCCTGACTCTGCCCCTTACCAGCCTGTGACCTCAGGCAAGTTACTTCCTGTCACTGCCTCATCTGTGAGGTGGAACTGACCACAGCCCTCATAGGGCTTGTCTGACCATTCAACAAGATGATGCACAGTGTGAGCACTCAGCAGTCAGCGTCCTTATTTTTATCACACTCCTGGAGGAGGCATCAGAGAATTAAATTCCCTTTGCCTTTTAAAGTCCCACTGATGGGGCACTTTGGACAAAAGGAACTCTCAGCCAGCAACCTCAGCAGGGACATACCTGCCTGATCTTTCTAGAAAGCCCTAGCCCAGAGCTGAGGAACAATTCTTAGTGGCTTTTTGTTTCCCAAGAGCCTGTAAGAGTCAGGGTGGAGAAGCTGTTCCCAGCATGCATTCCAGAGACCATGTTTCCAGGGTACAATAAATATATTTTTAGTTTTTTTTTTTTTTTTTTGGAGACAGGATCTTACTCTGTCACCCAGGCTGGAGTGTAGTGGTGCAATCTTGGCTCACTGCAACCTCTGCCTCCCAGCCTCAAGTAATCCTCCCACCTCAGCCTCAGCCTCCTGAGTAGCTGAGACTACAGACACACCTTTTTTCTCTTTTTTTTAAGCTGGGGTTTCACCATGTTGCCCAGGTTGGTCTCAACCTTCTGAGCTCAAGCAATCCACTGACCTCGGCCTCCCAAAGTGCTGGGATTACAGGCAAGAGCCACCGCACTCAGCCCAGGATACAATAAGTCCTAACCCAGCCTCTCCTTCTCACCCTCTAGCCAAAGTGCTAAGTTACTGATGTTACTGGTATCTTTATTAATACTGTTAATGATCACAGAAATTCTTTTTTTAAAAAATGTTTTAAAGAGATGGGCTCTCGCTATGTTGCCCAGACTGATCTCGAACTCCTGGGCTCAAGATATCCTCCCACCTCAGCCTGCTTAGTAGCTGAAACAATTGGCACACACCTCTGGATTGGGTGATCACAGACGTTCTTTTTTTTGAGAGTGAGTCTCGCTCTGTCACCCAGACTGGAGTACAGTGGTGCGATCTTAGCTCACTGCAACCTCTCCACCTCCTGGGTTTAAGCTATTCTCCTGCCACCCAAGTAGCTGGGACTACAGGTGCGTGCCACTACGCCCGGCTAGTTTTTGAATTTGTATTTGTATTTCTTTCTTTTTTTTTTTTTTTTTTTTTTTTTTTTTGAGATGGAGTTTCACTCTCGTTGCCCAGGCTGGAGTGCAGTGGTGCGATCTGGGCTCATGGCAACCTCCGCCTCCTGGCTTCAAGCAGTTCTCCTGCCTCAGCCTCCCAAGTAGCTGGGATTACAGGTGCCTGCCACCATGCCCAGCTAATTTTTTTGTATTTTTAGAAGAGACAGGTTTTCACCATGTTGGTCTTGAACTCCTGACCTCAGGTGATCCACCTGCCTTGGTCTCCCAAAGTGCTGGGATAAGTGTGAGCCACCATGCCCGGACTAATTTTTGTATTTTTAGTAAAGATGGGGTTTCATCATGTTGGCCAGGCTGGTCTCAAACTCCTGACCTCAGGTGATCTGCCCCCATCAACCTCCCAAAGTGCTGGGATTATAGGCATGAGCCACAGGGCCCAGCCAATCACAGAACTTCTTACATAGAGTTCCTACTGTTCTGTCCACAAAGTACTTCTACCTGTCATAAGAATTATTTAAATCCTGGACACAGATGCAGAGATGGAGCCCTCCCTATTTCTCTTCCCCTTCCTGTGGTTCCCAGACTGGGAATCATGACCTCTACTTTTCAGTGCTCCTGATTAGGGGCTGCTGTGACAGTCGAATGAGCTGTAGTTTCTCCATAGGTGGCCCACAGACCACATCAGGGCCACCTGGACGTTTGGTTAAAATGCAGATTTCTAGGCTCTGCCATGCCTGCTGGTAGTGTATCCCTAAGCTAAGGACCAGAAATCTGCATTTTAACACATGCCCCAGTGATCCTGCTGCTCCCTGAAGTTGGAGGAGCATTGAGAAGGGGTGAAAGGCCATGCATGTGTTTGGGGAGTGGGGTGGTTGCCCATTCCTGATCTGTGCACACCCCTCCCTCAGCTGTTCCATTCTCCACACAGTCAGAAGCTTTCCAAGTCTTTCAGATGTAAGGTGGTTCCTGTTCTCTGTACTCATCCAAGTCAGGCTCACATCAGCCATGTCCTTGGCAAGCCTCATTCTGGAGAGGTCCCAGTAGCCTCACCCTCTACCCCTGGCTCACCCCCAGAGACCAGACAGCAGAATTCTTGGGGAAGCTTTTAACAGAAGTGCCCAGGCCCCTCCCCACAGGGGGCAATGGCCATTTTGTTTCTGGTTGGGGGAGGAGACAGAATTACCAGCATGATGCACCAAGGGAGATACATAGATAAAGAACATCTCAAGTTTAACAAGAATGTGATTGAATAGTTCATGACCTCCTAATGGACAGAGGCAGAAAAGTGTAACTTAAATGATAAGACAAAGAGTTGGGACTGGCCAGACACAGTGGCTCACGCCTGTAATCCCAGCACTTTGGGAGGCCAAGGAGGGTGGATCACTTGAGGTCAGGAGTTCAAGACCAGCCTGGCCAACATGCTGAAACCCCATGTCTACTAAAAATACAAAACTTAGCCAGGCATGGTGGCACATGCCTATAATCCCAGCTACTCGGGAGGCTGAGGCATGAGAATTACTTGAACCTGGGAAGCTGAGGTTGCAGTTAGCCAAGATGATGCCACTGCACTCCAGCCTGGGCAACAGAGAGAGACCCTGTCTCAAAAAATAATAATAAATAAAAGAGTTGGGTTCAACCAAACACGAATAGAGATGATGACAGGGGCTTTGTCACACACTGGAAAAGTCTAGTGCGGTGCCACAGGACTCGCTGTCCTGAGCTGCGCGAGTACAGGAAGTGCATGGAATGAGCGGCTGCCTCAGGACTCCAAGAGGCCACGGTGAGATGAAATCAACAGCAATAAGTGCAAAGTTTGTCATGTGGGTTTTAAAAATCACCGACTTAGTTCCAGGGTGGGAGAGACCTGGTTTGGAGAGTGAACATGACCTGATGGCAAAAGGGAGCATGACCACTCCCCAGGTCACTGCAATCCCACACTTCACTGGGGCGAGAACAGCCCATTCACTCTACCCCATAAGCCATCATTGGGAGGGTGGGATCCCGTTCTCCTGCCAGGGACAGAGACAGCCTGAAGCAAGTCCAGCAGATGAGGGATGAACGCTGTCCTCTGACAAACAGTGGAGGACTGGGGACATTTCATCTGGAAGGGGAGACTTGAGGAGGACAGGAACTGCCCCCCAACTTCTGAAGGACGGCTGTGAGTTTGTCAGTGACACCGTCCCTGCAGCCTCTGGGCCTTTCCTGTGTAATCAAGCCCATGCCCCTTCTCCGGTCTCATCTCTCAGGACCCACCCCACAGAAACCCTGGGCTCCAGCATCCCCTGCCACTCACCCTTCCCTTCCTCATACGCCCCTTCGAGCCTCCCACATGCTTCCCCCTGCCTGAAACTCCCTTTCCCCCAGCCCTCTGCCTGACCAGCTCTTACCCATCCCAGGTCTGTCCCTCAGGGTGACATACAAAGACACCCCCCCCCAAATCAAAAGCAGGGCCCCGTTCCATGACCTGATGGCCCTCTATACTTCTTGATGACAGCATGGATCCCTATTTAGACTTTAGCTGTGGTGATGTGTTTTATTTCTGTTTTCCAAACTGAAAGTTCCATGAAATCACAAAGGGCATGTCTGGTTCATCTTCGTGCCCCCACTGCCCTGCCCAAGGCCTGGCATGTAGTAGATGCTCAATAAAGGTTGATTTAGTGAATGAATGAATGAATGAATGAATGGTACCAGCCGGTGGGAGCCACAGGAAGATCAGTTTCAGCTCCGTGAAAGAAAGCTTTCTAGTGCATTCGGATGTCCTAGTCTGAGACCAGCCGCCTGGTGAGGCACTGCACTCCCTGCAGGGGCAGCCTGGGAACAGAGGCAGGCCCCCATATCAGACACATCTGCCATGAGGGTTACACCAGATGTGGAGATGAAGGCCGTGACCTCTAAGGAACCTTCCAACTCGGAGGTGTATGTCTGCCTCCACAGCTTGAAGACAGAGCCAGTAATTAATTTGGGGAAGGGGAGGTACAGGAAGGGAGGAAATAGGCTGGCTACTTGGGAAACAGAACATTTATAAGACCATGCCTGGGTGGGACTGCAGGGGATGGGTGGGCGGCTCTGGGGACAGGTCTTGGGTGGGAGGGGGACTGGAGGGCTGGGCTCTGGAGCCAGGGTTGTGACTCCCCATCCTGTCCCCTCCACCCACGCCGTCCCTGGACACAAAGGACGGGAACGACCTTGAGCACGGGGTGGTCCTGTTCACCTGAGTTCCCAAATCCAGCACATAGCTGGGCAGTGAGAGTGCTCATGACTCTAGCAAAAACGTCAGCTGAGCATGGTGGCTCACACCTGTAATCCCAGCGTTTCGAGAGGCCAAGGTGGGAGGATCACTTGAACCCAGGAGGTCACATAGAGAGACCTTGTCTCTACAAAAAAATTAAAAAGTAAAAATAAAAAAAAAATTAGCCGGGCATGGGGCATGTGCCCATAGTCCCAGCTACTTGGGAGGCTGAAGTGGGAGGATCACCTGAATCCAGGGAGGGCGAGGCTGCAGTAAGCTGTGATCGCACCACTGCACTCCAGCCTGGGTGACAGAATGAAACTGTCTCAAAAAAAGTCTCCTTTGCATCTATCCCCCAGCCAGGACCACCTACATCATGGTGGGGCTTGGTGCAAAGTGAAGATGCAGGGCCCCTTGTTCATAAATGATTAAGAATTTCCAAATAGTGACAGCAGAGTATGGACCCAAGCGTGGGGCCCTGTGTTACTGCACACACTGCATGTCGGCCCCATGCCCAGCCCTCCCTGATCTCCCAAGAATGCTGGCCTGCAGACCTCGCCTCATTCAGCCCCTATCTCGAGGGCCAAGAGAAGATGTCAAACTGAGAGCTCACCACGAAGCTGAAGCTAGTCAGCTCTTCACTCTGTTCAGCTTAGAGCCTCATCGTCTTTATTTATAAATATGAGCAGACAGGAGAGAATCGCTAAGCAATACAGAATGCTTCAAGTCAAAAGGGCAGCATGGGGGTACCCGTGGGAGTCAGACAGTGGAGCCAGCAGAACAAATGACTTCCCTGAAACAAGAGTTAGGAAAAATTATCCTTGAACTTGGAAATATGGCAAAGGGAAGGCACTATTTCTCACAATGTCATTTTGAAGCATAATTTAACAGGCCATTTAAAGATTATTTCATTATCCAGGGGGAATACACCTTTGTTTGATTCACAATTTCCTGTTCACTAAAGGTCTGGATGTTGTGAAATTACATTTTAACTTGTAGATTTTTATCTGGCAGATGTATGTGATTTCTGCCCAAAAGAAAACTCCAAAGGTTATGGTTTATTACCCTGTAGGTCATTAACCAGCTTTGACTCCAGTCTCACTTTCTTCCTACATTCTTTCTCCAATGTCTGTTTTCCTAATTCTGCTGATTGCCATCTGCTGAGTCCCTACTCCTTAACGAGCTGGATAAATCTGTCATATACATTCATTCTAAGATTTGTGTAAGAGTCACCTTTTTTTACCTTTTCAGAAATTATACTTTGATACAGGGTTATGTCCAGAATCATGAAAAGACTTTTAAGAAGCCTAATTAGTATATAAGGAGATTCAGGTGAATATTGTATTTATAAAACAAGAACAGGCATCCATAAAACAAGAACAGGCACAAGGTGCTCTGAAAAACAAGAAATCCAAAAACAAGAAGCATTCCTGAGAATTAAAAAGACACTGAGGAAATGAATTATTCCATAGGGGCAGTAAATAGGGGAAAGGACATTGCTGAAAAGCCCACTTGTGATTCAAAAGCCCAAGTCAAAGATTTCTCTCATATTACAGACAAAATCTGTGAAAGAAAAGGGCAAAGGCATGCAGAAAAGATAGAGGATAGAATTATCTACATAACGTGAATTCCAGAAGGAGATAGCAGAGAATAATGGGCCATAGCCAAAGAAGAGATGGAAGAACCTTCTTCTGAGATGAAGGAAAGCATGAATCTTTTTTCTTTTTTTTTTTTTTTTTTTAGACAGGGTCTCGCTTTGTTGAAGACTAGAGTGCAATGGCACGACCACTGCTCACTGCAGCCTCGACCTCCTGGGCTCAAGGGATACTCCAGCCTCAGCCTCCTGAGTAGCTGGGACTACAGGAGTGTACACCACACCCAGCTAATTTTTTATTTTTTGTAGAGATGGGATCTCACTTATATTGCCCAGGCTGGTCTCAAACTCCTAGGCTCAAGGAATCCTTGCCTCAGCCTCTCAAAATGCTGGGATTACAGAGGTGAGCCACTGCACCTGGCCAAAAGCACCAGTCTTGAGTTCTCTAAGGTCCCACTTAGATCTGCCCTAGGGAAAGGTCTGATCCTGAAGGTAAAGAGAAAAGCCCACAAGCTTCTAGTCAGGAAAAAGAAGATCATCTTCCAAGAAACAGGAACCGGACCTGTACTGGACTCATGTGCAATACTATAGTGTAGGTTTGAATGGCAGGATGTGTGCAGGGTTCTGACTCTAGAACATCACAAATAATTGTCCTCCACACTCAAAGATCAAAAGAATATATGTCTGGACAGGCAAGATTGAAAAATGACACTATCCAAACACCTTTTCTTAAAAAAAAAAAAACTACTTAAGGATGTTCTCCAGCCAAACCAGAATAAGAATGAAAATGAAGAACGTGACTAAGAGGAGGATACAGTGCTCAGGAAACCACAGGAAACCAGGGTAGTTTCCATTCAGGTCTAAGTGACTGTTGACAATGTGGTTGTAAAATTGAATACAGCGATTGAGAGAAGATGCTTAGAGGCCAGGTGCGGTGGCTCGCATCTGTAATCCCAGCACTTTGGGAGGCTGAGGTGGGAGGACTGCTTGAACCCAGGAGTTCAAGACCAGCCTCGGCAACATAGTGAGACCCTGTCCCTATAGAAAAGAAAAGAAAAAAGAAAAGAAAAATTAGCCAGGGTTGGAGGCACATGCCTGCAGTCCCAGCTACTCAGGAGGCTGAGGTGGGAGGATCCTTTGAGCCTGGGAAGTCAAGGCTGGAGTGAGCTGTGATTGCATCACTGCACTCCAACCTGGGTGACAGAGTGAGACCCTGTCTCAAAAAAGGAAGGAAGGAAGGAAGGAAGGAAGGAAGGAAGGAAGGAAGGAAGGAAGGAAGGAAGGAAGGAAGGAAGGAAGGAGAAGGGAAGGAGAAGGGAAGGAGAAGGGAAGGAGAAGGGAAGGAGAAGGGAAGGAGAAGGGAAGGAGAAGGGAAGGAGAAGGGAAGGAGAAGGGAAGGGAAGGGAAGTGAAGGGAAGGGAAGGGAAACGGAGGGAAGGGAAGGGAAGGGAGAGGAGGGAGGGGAGGGAAGAGAAGGGGAGAGGGAGGGAGAGAGGGCAAACAAGCTTAGAAGAGGTGTAACTTTTTTAAAACCCTAATGAAATAAATCACCTCACTTCAGAACATATCTGTGGAATTTAGCAGATGCTTGATGGGATTCTCACACCCTGATTGCCCATCTCAGCCGTGAGTCTACCGAATCGAAAAGGTCACACCTCCTCAATAGCATTCTACACACAAGGTCACACACATACACTGACAAACACACTCATACATCCTCTCTCGAACACACACTTACAGCCTCCAGCCTTTTTCTCTATCCTCTGCCCTAATAATGACCCATCCCTGGGCATGATTACTGTCTCCTCATCCTTCAGCTCTCCGTGTCACCTCCTCAGGAAGCCCTCAAGCCCCAAGTCCCCAGCTTGGCTCAGTCAGGCCCCTGTGTTAAATGCTCTCAGCAAACCACATGCTTTGCCCAGCGCTCTGGTCCCAGTGTGTGAAGGCACACCCACTGGATAGCAGGTGGGTGCCTCCCCAAGACAGGAGTAGGAAGGACAAGGCCTGTGTCTGGTTTGCCCTCCTCCTTGCCCCCAGCAGCTAGGATGGCGCCAACACTGGGGAGCAAGTTGTTCAGTCCCTGGTAGGTGGATAAATGCATGGATGGGTTTGACCCAGGAAAGCAGGCACAAGGCCCAGAGCAGGGTCCGAGACACTGCAGATGGGCTCAGCTGTAACCAGGCCTGTCCCTGATGGCAACTTGTGTCTTTTAGAAATAACCACAGTCTGGAGTCAGACAGTGCTTGAGTCTGTGCTCGGTCTCTGGCGTGATGAGTGATCCAGGATAGCAATCCTAACAGCTAGCATTTATTGGGTGCTCATTTTGACGCAGCTACTATTATTATTCCCCTTTTCAGACGAGGAAATGAAAGCTCAGAGAGCGTCAGTGGCCTCTCAAGGTCATATCGTTAATTAGCATAAACACACCCAGTATCCGCTGGCAGTGCTAGAGGACGCACAACTTAGGAAGGGAGGAAAGAACATCTGTCTGTCCATCATTTCTCCCAGCCCAGGGGTCCAGGAGAGTCTCACGCATCAGCGTGAAGCTTCATCACCATCAGCAAGAAGCCCTGGATTCTCTCAGTTATTCCTGGTGTGCACCCGAGGCTAGGACCTGCCTGGCGGGTGCTACCTACCCTGCCATGACGATGAAGAAATCCAGGCGGTTCCATGTATCCCCGAGGTAGCACTTCTTGCCAAAAATCCCCAGGGCCACCATCTTGAGCACCATCTCCATGGCAAAGAAGATAAAGATGAAGTCATCAAAGACCTGCAAGGACAGGAGGAGGGAAGCAAGGGACAGGGTGAGGTTGCAGAGCAGGGCCCAGGGGTTGCAGCCACAGTGTGAGGTGGGGACATCACATGGATGCAAGGGGCCTGGGAAATACCCGGAAACTCCTCCTGGGCAGAAGGAGAACCTCAGTGATCCCGGTCCAGTACAGTCATTTCACAGATGAGGAGACTGTGGCCGAGAGAGGGGAGTGAATTTGCCCAAGGTCATACAGCCCATTCTATCTGTTCCCTAAGCCTGGAAACAGATAGAAGAGCCCCAGATAGGGGTGGGGTGAGGGGCCATCCCATATTCTCCCTAATAATTACCAAGCACTGGCTACACACGTGACCCCCATTCTCTCTCCTAATTCTCCCAAGGACCCCATGGATAGTTCCATTTTACAAATGAGAAAACAGAGACTCAGAGGTTAAGCAACTTGCCCCACAGGTAACACAGCAGGTAAGTGGCAGAACCAGGACTGAAACTCCATGGATCTGACCTCAAAGCCCCCACAGAAGGAGCTGTCTCAAAGTAGCCCCCGGGTACAGGCTTGGGTGCTGCCTTCCTCTGCCCACAAAGGAGGCTCAGGTGACATTATGCTTCCTGAGGGCGGGACCTGGGTGGAATTCCTGTTTCCAGGATTAGTGAGGGCTGCAATCAACTCAATTCAACAAACAGGTGCCACACACCTACTGTGTGCCAGGGCTAGGCCAGCGGTGAGGACACAGAGGTGCATGTTCAGTGAACTCACCATGAGGCTAACCGGGCCTGGGGCCCGGGGCTGCTGAGGAGCTTGTTACCCTCTCGGACCCCAGACCCACCCAGAGATTCTGCTTCAGCAGGTCTGAGATAGGGTCAGGGGTCTGGATTTTTGCCAAGTGTTCCGGGACACTCTGGCCTAGTGCTGCCTGGGAGTTACTGAGTCCTATAGAAACCCAAGAGGCAGAAAGCAATTCTTCCCAGGAGGAATCTGGCTTTCCCAGGGAGAGGCACTGAGTGTTTCCACATCTCTAAAATGGGTACAACCCTAACATCTGTGCTACCCGTACACATGCTCTGCACGGGGTTATGTCAGGTACCAAAGGTCAAGCCCTACCCCAGGACCTCAGGAGATAACAGAATGTGAAACCAGAGGCCCACTCCTAAAGGGCTTCTAGGGCTGGGTGTGAACTCGGCCTCTAGTCCAAGAGCACGGGGGAGGAAGCGCAGGTTGTAGGCAGAGGAGAGTCGGGGTCACTGTGCTTTGCAGGTATGTGTGAAGGGGGTGCAGGAGAAGGCTGGTGAGAGCACCTGGGTGGGAGAAGATTGAGGCCTGGACTAAGGCAGAGGCCCCAAGCTGGAGAGGAGAGGTAAAAGGGAGAGAGGATCCGAAGGGTAATAGGAAGACCAGTTGGGAGTGAGGAAGGATAAGCCAAGTGAGGGCGGCTGGTGGTGGCTGAGTGTGGCAACGCGCTTGATAGGGCAGCGCAGGATGCGGAAGCGCACGGAGTAGGGTCGGCGCATGGGGTGGGGCGTGGAGCGGGCGGGGCAAAAGCCAGGACATGGGGCGGGGCGTGGAGTGGGCGGGGCGTGGAGTGGGCGGGGCATAGGCCAGGTCCTGGTGGATGGGGGTGGGGTGGGGTGGGGTGGGGTGGGGCGGGGCGGGCGGTGGGGCGGGGCAGCCGGCTCACCTGCAGGATCTTGCAGCGGTCAGACAGGCAGTCCATGTCGTCGCACGGCTGGTACATGCCAAGTGTCACGCAGTTCAGCAGGATCACCAGCATGCTGACACATTCAAACCACGTGCACACCAAGTCAAGGACAAAGCAGCAGGTGGGACCGTGCCCGTGGGGGCTGGGGTGCACCCTAGAGTGTAATACCCCCAACCAACCACACACACAGGTATACACCCCGTTCCTCGTTCTTCTCCCTCTGGGTGCTATCCCTGCAACAGCTCAAAGCCCGTGGTGCCAATTTGCCCCCATCACAACAGACATGGCCATATACACCAAACCCACCAGGCCCCCAGTTGCAGAACCCTGCTCCTTGCCCAGCCTGAGAGGTCCCCTCAGGCCTAGAGAAGGCAGAGGTTCCCAGAAGCCTGGCTGTCAGGAAACTCTGGGCTATCCCAGCCTCTCCACCCCAACCACCACCCTCTGACTGTCACTGCCTCCCTTCTCTGACCACCTTTCCCTCCCCTGACCCATGTTCCCTCCTTCGCCAACGCCTGGGTCTAGAGCCAGCAGAAGGCCCTCCCGTGGGGCTGAGATTGGCTGGATGGCCCCATCCTTCTCTCCTTGCCCATTGCCACGGTTAGGGCTCAGGTAGGGTTCATCACCTAACTCCAAAACACCCACACCAAGCCCAGCCCTGGCCTGCACCACATAGGGTGGGGCTGGGCCCCCTCAGGCCTGGTCAGACAGAAAGACTCCTGCCACGGAGGGGATCCAGAGCTGGCCGTGAACCTGGCCTTGGGCAGGGCCTCTGGGCACAGCTTGCAGCTGGGGTGAGTGGGCTCCCCTCCTGCACCTGGCCAGGCTGCTCTCCTCATCACTGCTGAGAGCCCCTCCACGAATGCCGTCCTCCCTCCCTCCCAGGCCAACTCCTACCCATCCTTAGAACACAGCCTGCAGGGTCCAGCCCCGCCACTCTCAATCCTCCCAGTCCCAGGACCAGGAAGGTCAGGCCTCAAGGAATTCAGGGCGGTGTCACTCCCAGCCCCCACCTGTCATACCAATGAGAAATCCGAAGCCTGCTCAGATCTCCTGAACTGGGATCTCCAGTTGACTGAGTCCTGGGGCCTCAGAAAATATGTGCCTACTTGAAAAGAGGCAACCCAGGATGAAATGGACTTGAGTTGCACACAGTATGAATAACTGAGGTTAGACACCCAGGTGAACTTCCAGACCATGCAGCCTGACCTTACAGGCAATGACTGGAATCGGCAGTAGGTTCTCCTTCTCTAAGAGGAGAGATGCTGATAGAACTCACCACACCCCACCTATGCAGCGCCCTCTCCTCCCCCAGAAACGGAGTGTCAGGAAACAGGGGCTGTCATGCAGTAAAAGCAGCAAACAAGACAACGAAGCCGGGAGACCTGCATTTGAACTCCAGTCCCAGCACTGACTGGCTCTGCGGTCTTCGGCAAGCCCCTCCCTGTCTCTGAACCTGGAGGTCCTCCACCGGATGACCAGGAGCCTCCCCATCAGCCTCCTGGGTCTGCCCTGGCCTCTCCAAACCACCCTCCCTGCAGCAGCAGTGGGCAGTTAAAAACATCAGCGAGACCACCTCCCTCCCCAGCCCAAAACCCTGCCCTGGCTCCCGGCCTCTCTGAGCACAAACTTTGAAGCCCTTGCTTGGCTGCAGGGCCCCGCCCTGACACCCCATCTCCCTCTGCCCTGCCCTGGCTCACTCTGCTCTGACCTCACTGGCTCCTGCTGCTCCTTAGACACACAATGAGTGACATCAGGACACTCCGCCTCAGGGCCTTTGCATATGCTATTCCCACTTCAAGGGCTGAGCTTCTAGCATCATGGTCACCTCCTCTGAGAAGTCTCCACCCAACCTCATCACCCTCAGCAGCCACACGCCCTCTTCATGCCCTGCCACTGTCTTGCTGACATGCTCATTGTCTCTGCCACTGCTCTAATCTGCATTCCAAGGGGGACAGGGACTTTACACTCACGGCCCTAACATCTAGTAGGTGCTCAATGAACATCTGTCGGATGGATAGATACGGTTGTCCCTCATTATGTGCCGTGTCAGTTACCCACGGTCCACTGTGGCCCAAAATTAGGTATGAGTGTGGTACAATAAGAGATTGGCGGTGGGGGGAGACCACATTCACATAACTTTGATTATCACAGGTGAGTCTAATTGTTCTTTTTTTTTTTTTTTTTTTTTTTTTTTTTTGAGACGGAGTTTCACTCTTATTGCCCAGGCTGGAGGGCAATGGAGAGATCCCAGCTCACTGCAACCTCTGCCTCCTGGGTTCAAGTGATACTCCTGCCTCAGCCTCCCAAGTAGCTGGGATTACAGGCGCCCGCCACCACGCCCGGCTAATCTTTTGTATTTTTAGAAGAGATGGGGTTTCACCATGTTGGCCAGGCTGGTCTTGAACTCCTGACCTCAGGTGATCCATCCACCTCGGCCTCCCAAACTGCTGGGATTACAGGGGTGAGCCACTGTGCCCGGTCTAATTGTCCCATTTTATTTTATTTTATTTTATTTTATTTTTATTTTTAGTATTTATTTATTTTGAGACGGAGTCTTGCTCTGTTGCCAGGCTGGAGTGCAGTGGCGTGATCTCGGCTCACGGCAACCTCCACCTCCCAGATTCAAGCGATTCCCCTGCCTCAGCCTCCCAAGCAGCTGGGACTATGGGCACGTGCCACCATGCCCAGCTAATTTTTTTGTATTTTAGTGGAGACAGGGTTTCACCATGTTGGCCAGGATGGTCTCGATCTCCTGACTTTGTGATCCGCCCGCCTCAGCCTCCCAAAGTGCTGGGATTACAGGCATGAGCCACCATGCCCGGCCTGATTGTTCTATTTTATTTTTGGTTGCTGCTCATCTCTTACAATGCCTGATTTATAAATTAAACTTTATCCAGGTATGCAGGTATAGGAAAAAAACATAGTAAATACAGGGTTCAGTGCTATTTGTGACTTCGGGCATCCACTGGGGGTCTTGGAATGTGTCCCCTGTGGGTAAGCGGGGGTGCTGCTGTAAATCTCTATGGGCCCTGCCCACTCCAACATCCAGGAACTCGGGAGTGTCTCCAAGCAAACCCCTCACCCCTCCATTTCAAAGCCCTTGCCCTTAACTGGGATGTAGCCACACCAGCAGCCAAACCCTCAGCGGGACCCCACCCAGAGAGGAGTGGGAGAGGTGACCTGGTTTCCACGGCAACAGCCTCCCTCCCATCCCCAGCCCTGCCCACTTTGGGATGCTGCCTTCTCGTGGCCTCTCCTCAGCTCCTCCCGGCCCCAGCCCTGCTCCTTCCTGTCCCCTCACCCCACTGCCACTCTCCCACCATAGCCTGTAATTAATTTCAGTCGCTGCCAGGGCCCCCTTCGAGCCTGAGCCTGGCTCCAGCAGCAGCTTCATCATTAATTAACTTTTTTGAAGTTCAAACGTTCTAATTACCAGAGAACATCCCCCATCCCCCTCGCCTTTCCCCTTTTCCTGTCGTGTGCTCTCTCCTTCCAGCCCCATCCTCTGCTCCCTCTGCCCTTCCTGCCAGTTTCAGGCTCAAAGTGCACTTAACGGTGTCTCTCAGGAGTCTGGTGCCCCTGCTGCCTCCTCAACAAGGCCCTGAGCAGTGGAGGTCAGCAGACCCATTTTACAGATAAGGAAAGCTGAGACACGGAGAAACCAGGGGCCTCTCCCAGGCTGCGCAGCTAGGAAGTACTGGCGCAGAGACTCACACCAGGCCTGCTGGACTCCAAGGCCAGCACTCTCCTCTGCGAAGTACGGCCTGTCTCTGCCCATGGCTCTCCTCCCTCCCCTGAGGCCTCTCAGCCCATCTTCAGTGTCTCTCCCCAGGATCCTGACCCAGCACCCTTTGTATCCCCCAGCTCTGGTCTCTGCCCCTCCAATCAGCCCCAGACGATAACCAGGCATTTGCTGTGTGCCCAACACAATTTGAACATTTTCCAGGTGTTATCTCATTTAATCCTCACGGCTGTATTATAAGCCCGATTTACAAATAAGGAAACCAAGACACGAAAGGGAAACACATTGGCCCAAGGTCACCAGCTGGAAAAGAGCAGAGCTGAGACACAAAACCTCAGGCTGGAGGCTTTTCCTGCCTCCAAGCTGTTTTGTCACTGCCAGGCTAATCTGCCTGAAACACGCTCTCCTGATGCTTCTCTCCTGCTCAAGAACCTCCCATGGCTCCCCATTACCCTCCCGAGCCTGATGCGCAAGGCCTCCTAGACTCTCGCCTCAGTGAATCCTTGCAATCTTGCCACTCACTGGCCTTAGCACTCACTGAACTCCTCGCTTTCTCCAAACACACCCTCTGCCTGCGCCTTCCCTTTCCTCCACCTCTCCAGCAGGCAGACTCTTTCAGAGCCCTGTTCGCAGGTCACCTCTTCTTGAAGCTTCTCCGGATGTGCCTCTCACCCTTCACAAGGTGGTGGCTCAGCCTCCTCTCCAGAAGCGCTCCCACCTGCCTTGGCTAGCACGTACCACGGTAGTGAATTTGGCAGTAACTCTGACGACTGTGTGCCTGGCACCCTAGGGACATGACCTCAGCTCTCACAATCCCCTGCGGACGGATGAGGAACAAGCCTGGAGAGCTGACACCACTCACACAAGGTCACCCAGTCCCCGAGCAGCCCAGATTGACTCGCGGCAGTGCCGGTGGCCGCTGCACAGCGCTGCCTCTGTGGTTCATCTAACTCGTCCACTGCACTGGGTCCCCCCAGGGGGCAGATGGAGTGGCTTTCATCCCTGGGCTGCTCAGCTTCAGAAATTCAGCGATGGACGGTCTCAGCCCTTGCCCAGAGGTGCCCAGGGAAATCCCAGATGGCACAGCTTGGGCCCCTTCCAAGAGCCCAGGAGGCTTAGAAGTCAGGCCAGAACTGGCATCGCTGCCCGCGGTTCCTGACACACTCCCCACTGGCTCAGGGATCAAAAGCACCAGCCCTCCTTGAAGTTAAACCAGACAGTGCAGCGTGGGGTATGAGGGTGGCGGGGGGAGTCAAGGTGTCCAGCTTGAGCCACTCTGCAGCCTGGCCCAACGCCTCACGCTTCCACCATGAATCACAGGTGTTGAGGAACTGTCTGAGAACACA